TAACCGTTCCGGGCTGTCCTCTCCTCTCCGTAAATGTGGGTAGAAATACTTGCCTGCCCAGCAGGGTCTTATGATAAGGTGACCAGACATACCAATTTTTAACAGTTTGTCCCGCATCCTGAGGCATTTTTTAAAAAAAAGTCCTGATTGGGACTTTTTTTAAAACGCCGGGGGACGCGGGACAAATTGTTAAAAATCAGGACTGTCCCGCCAAGAGTGGGACGTCTGGTCACCTTAGCTTATGAGGCGGCAGAAATGAACATGTGCAGTGAACAGAACAGCACCAAACAGAAGGCACAGCTCTCACCATTCTGCTAACCATCCACCACGTGGTATAACGCTTTGCACACGGCTTAGCTCAAAGGAAAATGATGACCATCAACAGCCAAATAAATCGCATCAACAACGGACGACAGCAAGCCTCCCTCAGACGTAAGACACCACCCCAACTTGCAGAGGGCTCGCTGGTCTGGCGGATTTCTTCATTTCTGGGGTGAATGCATGTTCTTAAGTAACCAGCAGAGTGGTATGGCAGGACCGATAGCAATCTCTGTAAGCCACTCACTCTCCATTAGGACAGGTCAGACGTTCCTGACCGCAGTGCCTAACCCCGTGGTCGGCACACTGCGGCTCTTTGGCCCCTTGAGTGTGGCCCTTCCACAAAATACCATGACATGGGCAAATCTATTTGGAAGAAGTGGTGTTAGAAGAAGTTTCAATTTAAAAAATTTGGCTCAAAAGAAATTTCAATTGCTGGACTGTTGATATTTGGCTCTGTTAACTCATGAGTTTGCTGACCACGGGCCTCACTGACCTCCCTGGTGCTATGGAAATCTGTTGCAGGTTTTCCTAGAAGGAAGTGGCCAGCCCAACCCCTCTGAGACTCGTAGCAGCCCCAAAGGCCAACTCGCTGTGATAAAGATCTCAAAGGAGCTAATGAAATTATCTCCTCTGCCTTTTATTCCTCGGTAACAACCACAAAATTAGATGAAATGACCCCCTGATCCTCTCAATTGAAGGCCCATTTTATTACCTACAAGCCCAATTCTCTGCCTTTGAAACGGAGATGAGACCCTGAATACCCGCAGGCCAATGGGATTAGTCACTGCAGGCTCTCCCTGCAGGCCGGTTCCAGGCGGCTCCCCAGAGGGCCCGCTCCTTCCCCGGTGGGGTCACAGCCAGTTCAATCTTCATGCTTCAGAGACGTCCCTTTGAACGAGATCAAATGTTTCCCCACCCAGTCCTATGCTCCGCTCAAAGGAGCAGCAGCCCCTTCTCGCTCCGAGCATTGAAGTCAGCTCAGCCACAAAGCAAGCGAGCGGAGGTCACTGATTAATTGTCCACCAGGCTGAGCCCTCCAACCGGCTCCTTGGGAAGGCTGGTCACCCTCATAAAAAGTCACTGCCCTTTGAACCCAGAACGAGGAGGATGAGAGCTGCGTCCCCAGCCTGCTGGGAGATCCGGCTGTTTGTTTTCTTTTGCAGGTTGTCACCAGCAAGGGCGGGAGGCTTCTCTGTAGCAGCCCCAGGCAGGCAGAGAGCCTGCAGGCAAGGTGAGCGGGGGACTGCCCGCCAGGAGATAAAGGGGAGGAACCATAAACTCCAGTGGGGTGGGTTTACCGGGAGCGCTTCCTTCAGCTTCCAAGAGGAGCCTGAGAGAAGGGAATTCTGGAAGCCTCAGAAACTCCTCCAAGTCAGGAATGCTAGAGAGAAATGGAATCATTTAAAACAAAGGGTATTTGTTCGTTATCAGGAAAAGAAGTGGAAGAGGAAGTGTTTTAACTCTCTTCAGCCTATGTGGAGAAGTTACTTATTCGCTCATCATCCAATGGCTTCCTTCTAACCCAGGCCCATCATGTACAAAGATGCAAAGGGATAGAACACGGTCCTTTCTTAGCTGAAAGAGGACATGAGAGGGACCACAACACCACCTCCAAACCTCCCGTAAAGCAAGTCAAAGATATGCCACTTAAACCAACTTTTCCTGGAAACAGGAACATGAAGGTTTTCTTTCAAATCAATAAATCACAGTGTATGGAGCACACCAGCCAGCCAGTCACGTTATGCACTGACTGTGCTCCAGAAACCAAAAAAGGCAAACTCCTCCGAGATGTCAACACCTGGGGGCAGCTCCACAGGCCTGTTTTGGAGGCTTGACTTCTGTTAGAAGGAGAAAAGAGAAAGGTTTCCCTGAAAACACCAAAGACAGCTGCATGGTATGTGCCCCTCTTTCCTTCCTTCCCTAAGAAAGAGAGAGAGAGAGAGAGAGAGAGAGAGAGAGAGAGAGAGAGAGAGTGTGTGTGTGTGTGTGTGTGTGTGTCCATCTGTCTGTCACCAACTGCAGTCTGCATCTCAGCAATAACAGAAATCACCAGTCAGAGATCAGAATATTAAATGGCCCTGGAGCTTGAGATCAGCAGACCAATTGCTGGGTCCACTAGCTGCCTTTGCTCTGATGGTCCTCAAATGTCCACCCTGGACACAAGGGGCCCATGCGGGACCGTGTCTCTGGATCAAAGCCAGCACTCCGAAACGGCTACATTACACACCCATCCGGATACACAGTCCACTGCTGAGGCACTGGCAGCCCCATCTTTAGACCGTGATCATTTCACTGCGTGAAAGAAGAGCACCCTCTCAGACGTCCAGAACGCAAACTCTAGAAGCTCTGAGGAAACTCAGGAGCGATGTTGCTTCTTGGCCTGACTGGGATGACGTGGGGCCGTGAGGACTCCCCTCCAGAGCTGGGTGACGTGTGCTGAGTGCACATCTGCCAGTGAGAACCCCTGGGTGGAGGGGGGCCAGCTTGATGAGTTGGCCTAACTCATTTCCCAACCGGACTAGAGCGTATTCTCAAACAGGAGGCGCTGTGACAGGGCTGTCCCAGAGGCGCAGCGAGCTGCTAACCCGGGCCACTCGGTAAGTGCTCCCCTTGTGGGCGGCGGCATGAGGACCAGGCGGGCACCCGCCACCCCGCCTTCAGCTTCTGCACGGATGGCGCAGCACCAGACAGTGAGCGATGCCTCACCCTCCCAAACCCACCAGAAAGCTCCAACACACTCCTGTTTTAACATCTGGGCTTTTAAATCGCAATTCATTTTCTTGGTTTATTTTTCAAGTGTGGCCGGCGAGCTGACTCCATGGAGACTGGGAATTCCTGGGGAAAAGCTCAAGTCCTCGCTCCACGGGAGCCCCAGGGAGCTGGAGGAACATGAGCAGGGTCAGCTGAGAGCCAGATTTCTGCTGTGTCTGCACCGGGCAGAAAAACACGTGGTCATGGGACTGCTTTCACCTGGGACCTGCTGGCTGGTGCCTCTGCGAGGCCGTGGAAAGCACATGCAGAAACCAAAAGATAACTTCTTTCTCTTTTGCTCCCGTGTTGCACACACCTGAACCAAGCAACTGGAAAGGCTGGATCACGAGCAGTGTTCATGGGAAAACAGGAGCAAAACCTCAAGAGCATGTTCTCCTGTGTGAAAGGGGTCTTTGGTTAGATTTACGTGCCCTCCCCCGAGCCCTGGCTACCAGGAACTCAGGCACCCAGCAGGTCTGAAAGGGGCCCAAGCCTTTTCTGGCTCCAACATTCAAGTGAAACACCACCGGGGGGTGGGGGTAGGGGGGGGGCGCAGGGGGCGGTGGTAGCTAGATCCAAGCCACAGGAGGACCATTGGCAAATGGTGTCCAGCCAATCAGCACACCTCGCAGAGAACCCGATGTACTAAAATGTATAGGGAGAACGGAAATGAACTGATTTAAAAGGTTTTTGTTAAAATTACTTAAACTGTGTTTTAAAACAAATGCTCAAGCCACTCAGAAATACTTTTATTTCCTCCAGGTTGCTAACGGGGAATGTGGATTGCTTGCTCTCTCACTGCCCATACCTTCAGATCCATATTCAGTCCCAGGGCGGACCCACTCCCTGGGTCTGGCTGGCAGGTGTCTCACCCAGGACTGCCCAGAGGGCTGGATGCTCAGGGCCGCAGATTGTCACTTAGCACATGACTGATCCCTCCCAGTGCCACTTACGACCCAAGAGGAAAACAATGGCACAACCACTCCTGACATCCTTTTCAATGGGGGTCAGAATCCAAACTCCTATTGACTGACTACATTATGATAAATTCTCAATTAAGCGTGGTAATGTGAGCAAACAGCCATGTAATTAATCCAAAAAGGCACTCTACAAATCATTTCACGGGTTTAGGAATACATTATGTTTTGTACCACAGTTTAGTTTACTGGGGCATTTTTCCCCCTCTCAGACTAGCATGCATTCGTTTATTGAAAGTCTGTTCCATGCCAGCCACCAAGGTAGGTGGGAGCTGGCTCTGCACAGACTAGAGGAAGGAGGCGTGCACAAACCAGCCAGGAAAGCTCACCATGGCCAGTGCAGCCTGTGGTGTGAGCAGAGAAGCAGACAGTTTGATGCATAACAAGTGAAACTGGGGCAAGGTCCTCACTGAGGAAGAGGATTCTCATGCACCTATCCAGAGGGCGGGAAGAGCAGTGGGTGGTAAGAAGGCCAGCCATGCCCAGGAGAAAGCCAGCCGGGGAAATCTCTTCCCCCGGTAACTGCCCACAGGGGCAGGGACCACCTGACCCGTTCCTGAGAGGGGACGCTGCCCTACATTTAAGCATTTTCTTTTTATTTATTTATTTATTTATTTACTTACTTACTTACTTATTTTTAAGGATTTTAATGCATTTATTTGAGCCAAACTGTCAACATATGCCAGGAAGCAGAACCACAAAGGACTGAGATAATGCTCCGGGAATGGCGGGTTACATTTCTATGTTTATACATTGCAATCAGAGGAAAGGGACGTAGGTGAGGTACATGAAATTCATTGGTGATAGATCAGGGATTTGGGACAGAGCGAAGCGGGGAAACCTCTGGGATAGGGTAAGCATTTTCTTTTAAATGAATGAGAACTTTGGGTGGAGATCAGAGTGTTCCCACAACCAACCCGAGCAGGAGGCGGCCCCGGAGCCAACCCTTACCGGTGGAGAAGGAGCTGCTTAACGCGAGGCACAGGCGGTGCCGGCCGTGAACTCCAGCGTCTGCTCCCCGGTTCACTGGAAAAGAGCAGGAGAGGGCCGCATTGGTTACTGTGGAGCCGCCCATCTTTAACAGTCCCGGTGCAGACCCGCAGACCGTGCCTCGGGCTCTCTGGTCTCAGAGCAGGAAACATGGCTGGGTCAAGGGCTTGGGTCAAAGAGCCCTGGGCGAGAATGCTTGTGCGCTTACTCGGCAGCGGGGTGGCCGAGCAGGCCCTCCCATTACACCTGCGCCCAGTTCCTCCCTGCCACAGCTCCTCGCAGAGTGCTCCCAAAGGCTTCCCGCTGACAGGAGCCAGGCCCGCCACGCCCGCAGTCACATGGAGGGGACACCTCCCTGCTCAGGGAGCTGACAGCCCAGGAGACGGAGGTGAAGAGGCGGTGAGCAGACCTGGAGGCGCTGCCAGAAGCTGGGGTGAGTGAAATGCAGGCGAGGAGCCTCTGGAGGGGCCAGAGGCAGCTGAGAGCTCCTGGAGGCTGTACGTGTGCCTGGCTGGAGGGAGAAGCGTGCACGGAGGCACACTTCCTAAGTGCCACGGGGTCTGGAAGAGCATGCCCTCGTCCTCAAAACCCACTGGGAAAAGCCTGTCGGGGGAGGAAGGAAGGTTTCTGCCGCTGGCCAACTCTCTCTTCCCCCCGTAAGCAGGACAGAAACAGGATCATTTCCCGAGCTTCTCTCTCAACATGAAATAGATGAAAAGAAAGAGTAAAATAATCCCAAGTGCAATGATGGTGTTTAACCTTAATTTTCAAATATAAACCACCTGGCTTTTCAGTGTATGTGACATGGCCACATTAGATAGAAGTATGACAGAAGCATCAAGGATACTAAAGTCCCTACTACACACACTCACACACATACACATACACTCACACACTCACACATAGTCACACAATCAAACACACACACACACACACTCACACATACACACATACACTCACACACTCACACATAGTCACACAATCATACACACTCTCACACACATTCACACACTCACACAAATTCACACACACAAATTCACACATACTCCTACACTCACTCACACACACACAAACACACACACACAGTGAATGAGAGTCAGTTCTGCCTAGTGTCCTCCCGGTTTCCTGGGCTCTTCATGAGCTGCCACACCCCTGCACCCAGGCCGGCACTCCTTGCCTATCACCCCATCAGTCACACCCTTAGCAAGCTGATCTGTACAAGCATTTTATGAAATTATTGCTATTAAGGTATAAATAATTACTGCATTACCTGTGGATGCTTACATGTTGAATACGACGTCTAAAGAGAAACATATCACACAGGTTCCTCTATTGGTAGATTGTAGGCACAGCAGTCAGTGAATTCCACCTTTGGGGGCAGGAACCCTTTCTACAGCCCTCCAATCCCACCACACTGACCACTTCCCTCTTCCCCTGTTTTATAAGCTGACGCTGCCCCTGAGGGGGCGAGGTGGGGGAGGGGGCTGCCTGTGGAGGGTGAGGGGCCCTTCATCCATCTCTGTCAGCGTTGACTTAGGAAAGGGATGTGCGTGATCCCCAGTGTCTGAGCCAAAGTAGAGAAAAACGTGGGGAAAGTCAGCCTCAAGACATTCCTAAGACCTCTGCAGAGCCCCAACGCTTAAATAGCCCCGGTTTTTTCCCCCCAAGAAACCCCGAAAGCAGTTACCGTATTTTTCGGACCATAAGACGCTCCGGACCATAAGACGCACCAGTTTTTAGAGAAGGGAAATGAAGAAAAAAAGATTCTGAAACAAATAGTGTCCTAAAATATTTTATGTGCATTAAAACCCAACATCACAGTCATAAACACATGTAATCAACCCTGTAAAGTAAACGGCAGCATTTAGAACCATTTTAGAGCCGGGCAAGCACACAGAGACCACACAGAGCCGGGCAAGTAAAAAAACTTTTTTTTAAAAGTATATGTGTAGGCTATATTTGGACCATAAGACGCAGGGACATTTTCCCCCCACTTCTGGGGGGAAAAAAGTGCGTCTTATGGTCCGAAAAATACGGTAGTAATCCGTGTCTGTAAAACCTTCCTAAAAATAACGGCCTCAGAACCGACTTTTTACACTGCTGACCAAGGACTCTCTGATTTGGTCCCATCCAGGCAAGGTAAGGGGCTCTCTGTGAGCACAGAGGCGCGAGTCCAGACGAAGATGGAAATGGGGCCACCGGGCGCCAGCCTTCACCACCAGGTACCCAAGAGGCCAGGAAAGCACCAGGGAAGGCGCCCCTCCCGCCACCAGCACCGCAGGCTCAGACGGGTGGCTTTCTAAAGCATGTTCCTCTAACCTGGTGTCTCCAACACCTGCCCGATCAGGACCATCTAGAATACTTTGTTTAAAAAACACAGACTCCCGGGACCCAGGCCTAGAAAGTGAAAACGGCAGGGGTGGGGTCTGGGAGTGTGTGTGTCCGGCCAGCACCCCAGCAGAGTGTCAGGCGAGTTTTAGAAAAAATGCTCCAAATGAAACAATAGGTAACTTTTTAAAAACTTGGTAATCACGTAACTTCAAAGTGCTAGGGTGTATGAGAAAAAAATGCAGGCTTAATTGGAGGAAGTGAGAGCCTTTTTTATTCAGTTAAATATGGAATATAATCAACATGCAATGAGGAAATGAATGTAACTAAAACTTTAGCAAAACAAAACCTCTCCCTTCAATGACATCCTGCCTGGAATACCCTCCACCACCCCGGTCCCTGCAGAGCTTCCACTCCTGACAGCGGGCACAGCGGGCACAGCGGGCACAGCGGGCACAGCCCGGATGGAAGGGGCGGGCAGATAGCCTGCGGGCTCCTCCCCAGAGAGAGCAGCCCTAGGTAGCAGGCAACCAAGTCTATGTCAGACCCCACAGGCGCCTCTCTGAGCTCAGCCTCTTCGGCCTGCAGCCTCTGGGGATGGTTCCACAGTCTTGTCCGCCCTGGGCTTGATGGGAGGCCCTGCTCCTCGTGGTCCACGGAACCAGCAGCATCAGCATCGGAGCTGGTTAGAATGTCAGAGCCCCAGGCCCCACCCAGCCTGCTGGATCCATCTGCACTTTAAAAAAGATTCCACCTAGCCGAAACCGGTTTGGCTCAGTGGATAGAGCATCGGCCTGGAGACTGAAGGGTCCCAGCTTTGATTCTGGTCAAGGGGATGTACCTTGGTTGTGGGCATATCCCCAGTAGGGGGTGTGCAGGAGGCAGCTGGTTGATGTTTCTCGCTCATCAATGTTTCTCTCTTATCAATGTTTCTAACTCTCTATTCCTCTCTCTTCCTCTCTGTGAAAAACATCAATAAAATATATTAAAAATAAAATAAAATAAAAAGATTCCACCTAAATCTTTTGCACATCCAGGTTTGAGGAGCCTGCTTTAAAGCGTGGAGAGTGCCATGCTTTACCCCCACCTGTGGGACGTCCAGGCCATCAGCCCCCCTGGGGTACGTCCCGGCCAACATCCCCTCTGTGGGACATCCAGGCCATCAGCCCCCCTGTGGTACGTCCCGGCCATCAGCCCCCCTGTGGGACTTTCCGGCCATCAGCCCCCCTGTGGGACATCCAGGCCATCAGCCACCTACTTATGCTCCAGACTCTAAGAGGCCATTTTCCATCACGTCTCGTCAGTCTCGGTTTGTCTTGAGGCCAAGGCCAAATCACCATCAGCAGAGCCCAGGGGCCAGCTGACAATCTAAAGCCCGACTCATGGGCAGTGAAAAGGAGGCAGTGAGTACCAATCATCTCTTACATTCTCCTCTGGCTCTTACATCTGCCTCCCGGAGAAGGCAGGAGCGGGGGACCCAGGACCATAAATCAGTAGAGACAATCCAAAGTCAAACAATACCGAGGAATGCCAGTCCTCTGGGTTCCAGCACATTGTTAATGAGGTCAAGGTCACCGGTACGATTAGCTTCCTCTGTATCCTGGCACAGACCCCGGCCCTCTGCCCTCCAGCTGCCTACAAAGGCTGATGCACCCTTGGTTACTAAGAGGACCCGGAGAATGACAAGGGGAGGCTGAACAGAGAAGCACCAGGCAGTGACTCAAAGCACTGAAATGACTGATGAGCAGAGAGTACGAGGCACAGCATGCCAACATGACAGATGATGGGTCAGAATTCAACGTTAGCTACAGGCTGAAACAACATAGCCGAATGAGAAAGCTGAGATGTCACCAGGAGAAATGGGAAATCTCGTGGCTGAGATTTAAAAACTAAACACAAACATATAATGAGCTAGAGGAAATCTAACCTGGAGATAATTCTTGCTTAAAAATGTTTTTAAAAAATTTTAAAGACATGTACATTATGTTGACTAGGTAGTTGCTAAGGAAGCTAACATACTCTTAGTGTCCCCAAGTCTAGCTTCCAACCACCAGAGCCGTGATCCCAGCCGTGGTCCCCGTAGCATCACTGATCAGACCATCCTAAAGCTTTTGCCAGCCACCTCTCCACACCGGTGTACACACTACCTTGCCACACCTTGTCACCACCACCACCACTGGTATCATTCAGTGTGGCCACTAACGGCTACAGCTCTTTTTGGCTTGGATTATAGTTTAAGCATTCCACACATCAGCTTAGCTCCCTCTGATGCTGCTCCCCCCCCCCCTTTTTTTTTTTACTAACCAAGAAAAGAACCATATACCTAAGCACAAAGTGTGGGGGGGGGGGGGGGGAAATACACATAAACAGACAACCTAAGAATACTCATTTACCGAAAAGATTCGGATGAAAAATGACCTGCAGTCACCTGTGTAAGCCGGCGCACCATGCTACATATTACAGCAGGCGTCCGTGCAGAATCAGTAATTAGGCTGGAAAATTATAAGCTTCCACTACAGAGGAACCCTGAAAAGACTACTCTGAGAATGAGCAAATGACAGAGTACATATCTGTTGAGACATACTTCTCTATGTAGAACCATCTTCTAGGAATAGACAGCCATTAAAAAGAAAAATGGATGTGATTTTAGATTGTTTTTAAAGTTGGGAGCCATGTTTTTCTAAAGTGTATATTTCATA